TGGAATATAACTATGGGCACTACGAAGACCTTCAATAAAATTTAAACTTTTCAACAAAATATTTTGAGAAAAATTTGCTACACAAAGATTAGGGCATTCTAACGATTTCAGGTACTGAAAACAGAATACTATGAATAATTACTACTTGAACTCATTATCACAAACACTAAATTCTAAGACGAGCCCGTACATCCCATTCCGACGACCTTTAAGGCAGTGGCCAAGAAACTAGCTTAACCCCTACCCCGAATGAGTACAGAATTACTTATTGCAAAAAAAAAAAAAAACTTTCCAGAAAAAAATTTCAAGCATGCCAAATTTACATTTCTATATATAAAAAAAAGTTGTATAAGTCACTATGATAACGTCAGGATATGGCTCTAATATATAAAAGGACAGACATGGAATAGTTGTCGACTTGGATAACCCGCTAACCCAATTACACCGACTATCGATCCGAAATGGAAACCTTTCCCGGCGTTGACCGTTGCCCATTGATTCAATATTGTGGACGACAATCAGAGCGAAATGACCGCACTGCTCTCGAAAGCAGGGGACAAAGGAGTGCGGTAAGAGCCACAGATGAAAGGGGCTTACCTCAGCTGCATAGCTGCACTCATCTTACGTCACGGCCGATACAAGGTCGCGTGCTTGAGTGTCGCTTTTCCAGACATCTCAATTTGCATTACATTCCTCGGGAAAACCTTTCTTTTTCTCACTTTCACTCCAGTTGAGTTTTGACACGAGTCTTATAGAACGTTTGTGCGCTACGCAACATTTCCTACTTCAAATACTAGAGAATCATGATTTTTCGTGTCAACATATGTACCTGAAATATATATAGAATAGACGATGGAGGAGGAGGGAAGAGGAAGTTTACAGGCATGGGCGAGGGGAGGAGGAGGAAGAAAGAAAGGTGTAATAGGGACAGACGAGCTTTCGGGCTGAACCCCCAAAATAGAATAGTAATGTTTTTTTTTCACTGTTTCATATTTCTTACCGTGGATTCTTTGAGAGCTAAATACTTAAAAAGTTACAATATTGGTACTCTTTTCAAATTAAAACGCCTATACAGCATTTAAGTGTGATCACCTTTCAATGAAAAAAGGTAATCGTAACTGCTTGTTGTTTCTGTTTTATACATACTTTTATTTGTTTATTTATTTTTTGGCATGTCTTCAAAGACTACTTAATAATAATTTTATTTTTTTATTTATTTTTTTTTTTTTTTAGTTCTTCCCTACCTGGCCATTCAGGCTATACGGGATTTTCCCGGGCCGGGGGGGGGGGGGGAGAGGTGAGGGCGGGGAATTTTAAATCTCCTCCGGCTCCGGGGCTTTTTAAATCAACTCAAATCTCTGTTATCCGGATGCCTGGTAACTAGCGGTGCTGTCTGTGCACACGCTTTAGCCCATTCGGCCACCCCGCCCCCAATAATAATTTTATATAGTTCATTTGTTTATCTAGAGTAATAACCATTATATTAAAACGAAAAAATCCAAAGACCTTCTCCTCTAGCCTCCCCTCTCCCCTCCACAACTTTGAATGCTGAATACGCAACTACTGCAAGGAAATATTTACTTTCATTAGAAAAATCACTAATTTTTGTTTATTTAAAAAAAAAATTCATTCTGATCAGTATTTGAAATGAAATTTTAACGTTTATTTTTAATCAGATTCGGTATTTTATTCAATTTAGTTCAGGTATGACTGGAATCTTTTATTTTGGAATTAGAGCCTTTTTATCTTGCAACTTTTCTTCAGAAGTGTTATGAACTGTGACGCCACACATAGCTGATATAGAACAATTCGGAAATAATAAACCATTTTGTAATAATTTGCAGTTTTTATAATTATTATGAGTTTGTTTGTTATTCACCACAAATTTATGTATTATTCATTCAAGAATAAATATACATTTAATATAATTTCAACTTCTCTACCTATCATCATCCCACTCGATTAGTAGTTCCTATCTAGCTAGCAATCCGTGATGTGGGCTTGAACCAAAGTGACCCAGATACCTCTAAATGATAAACCTTTGGCCAGTTTCTTTACATTGATAAATTTCATATTTCAAAAAATGCCATTCAATATACCGAATAAAATGGTTTCTTTAAGAAATGGATGAACGAAACTAACACTTCAACAAATATCCCTTACCACAAGGGTGAGTTTTAGCGCAATTAAGAACTAGATTTTTGAACAAATTCGCAAATCGATGACTAGAAACTAGAAAAAATATTTCGTACTATGTGTCATTGTTTCTCGTCGTAGGAATACGACTGCAAAAGTACATTATTCGTCCTCACAATATAATATAAATTATTACCAGAGTCATCTTTAATTTTTCAGCAACTGAAATTGAAGAGAAAAATGGTTAAAGGTCTTTAAAGTAACACTTTTAAAGTAAAACTTATAATGTTGTTGTTTAAGATGAAGGTGTAAAGCATAATTTTAATATTCCCTACTTCCAATTAAATAAACAAATTCAATATTTGATTAACGTTTACACACACACACACACACATAGATTATATTCCTCTTCCACAATTGATGTCATGGTGGATATCCTCACCTCCAATCTTCTTACTATCCATGAAGGCCAAGTCCCTCTCAAAACCTTTATTTATCATCGCCATCCCGTTCCTTGGATGTGTCAGCAAATTAAGGATCTACAGAAGAGGCGTGTGCTGCCCGTAGAAGCTTTAGACGTATTCGTACTAGGCTCTCCGAAGACTATCAAGCGTTTAGGGTGCTCCGCAACTTGACACAAACCACAATCCGAAGAGCCAAATCGGCCTATTTTCATGAAGCCCTTTCATCAGCTCCCGATTCAAAATCCAAATGGCCACACCTTCGTAAACTCTCATTCTGTGAATCTTCCAGATCCCCTCCCTCAGCAGTATTTCCAGTTTAATCAGATAATTTAAACTCATATTTTATATGTACTTCCTCTTCCACTCCTTCTTTTATCCTTCAACGAAGACGACTTTTACTTTTGATACATCTGCTCCACAGACATAAATTCCTGCGTGATGAAATCAAATTTCAATTCTATCGGTCCAGGTAGAATCCCGCCCAAATTAATTAAATTATGCTTTCCCGAAATCCTTCCTGTTCCTCTTTTCGTATATAATTTCTCCTTCCAAAACTCAGTATTTCCGACCTCATGGAAAAAAACCACCGTTTGCCTTTTAAATAAAAATTCTAATCCTTCTTCCCATATAGGTTTCCGTTCAATTTGAATCCTTCCAACCTTTCCTAACCCCTCGAAAGAATAGTGAAGAACTAATCTCAAGTTTCCAATTTTCTTGAAAATTATTAAAATCATTAGTGATTTTCAGTCCGCTATAGATTTACCTTTTTTATAGATTCAGCATCAGTTTTGGCATACAACTCTGATGCATAAAAAATAAGAGATTGTTTTGTTGTTTTAATCCATGTTTTTCTTCTATCTACAAGATTGTATATATTTTAAATGTATTTCATTTTTTACATTCCTCAATTTGTATACATATATATATATATATATATATATATATATATATATATATATATATATATATATATATATATATATATATATATATATATGTATATATTATATGTCAATAATATATACATTACTGGCAAATACATATATAACAAAGATGATTTAAATTTTTATGCACTAGACCTTTCAGTTGATTTCCTGTATAACATCCTTTGATCGACTGGTAGTGGGAGATCTTTATAGGCTTTACCTAATTTCTTCCAAGTAATTCACTCTTCACTGTTTAGAAGGTGGGTGGAGGTTGAACTTGGATGCTGATTACCCGTTTGTACAAGCGTCAGTCACATACTTCAACATATCTACATAACAAGGGATGGGGAGGCGAAATGAGCTAATGCGAGTACAAAACACGCCTCGCCCGGCGACCAGATGGTTGATAAAATGAAGTAGATATAAAATAATTACGGTGCTTGGGGAAGCTTTTCACTCAGGAATTAATCCTCTGCCCTTATTCCTTGGCTCTGAAAAATTCTCGTATTGCCTAAAAGGAGAGGTAGGGATGGAAAAAAAAAATCTACGTTACAAGAATTTTAAAGTAGAACAGATGTTTGTAAGAATCAATTCAGTTATTAGAGATAACTTAGGAGTTACGAATGTAAAGAATGTCATAGAAGAACGCCAGCTCAGGTGGTTTGGACATGTCTGCAGAATGGTAGAAGAGCGTAGAGCTGGCTGGCTGATAGAGGCCAGCCCGAGGGAGCTGCGACTTGTTGGACGCCCGAGAATCACATACAATAGTTATGTGGATAGAACTGGACGAGAGTGGGGGGTCGACCCCGGAGGAGACGAAGAGGATAGAGGAGAGTACAGGATAGAGACACATGCCAAAGGTGGACCGAGACTATTCCACGCTTAACAGCACGAAGGAGATAAATAAAGAAGAAGAAATAGTGAAATGGTTACTATGGTAACAGCTGAATGAATAAAATGAAACTTTTTCCAAATAATTAAAAAAAACAACTAGGTATTGTTTTGTTGATTGCATCCATGATCATCGAATTCGGACAATTATCAGCAAATATATAGCCTATAGTAATTTACACATTTTTATTTTTGCGAAAATAAAATAATTTCCTTTATCTTATAATATAGTGACTAACTTATTTCTATATTACATTTCCAATTGTTCACTGACTAATACACAGTGTGGATCATTCGAACAGGCCAACAAGCAAACCTTTAATATTTAGTTTTAAGAAAAAATTGAAAAATAAATAAAAATTTAAGAATATAAAAAAAAACCGGACATATCCGTCAGTTGTTATACCATTATCCCCTAATTCTTGATCGAATATATACTTCTTGAATCAAATATGAAAACGAATTATGAACGTACCCAATAATTTTGAGGTTCCTAAATACACATACTTCAATTTCAAATATTACCCAAAAATAGACAACATTTATAAAGAACTGATAATTAATTCAGAATGTGAATCTTTCCTCTTAATTGTGTACAAATGATTTACAAATTTTAATCAACAAAGAATGTTAGCATTTGTCAACTTTTTTTTATTCATTTTGTATTATTGCTTCATCTAAATTCAAATCACATTGAGGAATGTAAATCGAAACGTCACCAGCAACCAATAGGATATATTGCTGTTAATGGCCATGGTACCAATTACTGCGATGGTACGGTACATATTTATGTTTGAAGAAACAGAGCTCAAGAGCTGGAATCATAATTTTCCTCCTACAGTGGAATGGATTCGTTTTAAAAGCTTATTTATTCTATATAAGTATAAAAGAGCTTTTAGAAATGAACCATTGCGTTTGAACTTAGCGGAAGGTCATCTTCATTGTTTCGTGTGTTATCATTCCGTCGCCAATTAATAAAATCATACGTATTCCACTTCTATTATTTCAGTGTCTCCGTCATGACTTGGTGGTATATTCCTCATTATCGGATAATTAGTAGCGCGAAATCGGGTTATAGGTTCCTTCCGAACATCTTGCTGACCTCTGCGACGGGTGTAATGGTATTTTCGGCGAGACAAGATTTTCTGATATTCCGTAGACATTCTTCTAGGTTGCCTTTTGCTCGGCTTCAGTTTAATCTTTGTTTCGTAGTGAAATGTTGTCCACATCATTTTAGGTTCTTTAGTTGCTTCGTTTGAAGGGGAAATACTTCTTGATGTCGATGACACATCCTTTGACGTCGTACTACCACTTGGCATTGCTGACACCATCTTTTTGGTCTTTTCATCTTTTAGACTATCGGTGGATTGCTTTGAGCGACTTATCACAGATGAAGGAGACGATGAGAGTTTCACAGATACATTCATATCATACTCACTAGGATCAACGCTATCGTAGTCATTATAAACGTAGGCTCCAGCCTTTTCGATTGAGTCGTCAGCTGATGGATATTCCATCTTGAGACCTTTATATTTCTTTTTCATATTTGAATTGATGTCTTCATCCTCTTCTGCTTTTCTTATACGTTCACCTGGTTCGAAATCTGAATCATCGCATGTGGTAACAACACATTCAAATTTATTTGTCGAAGTTGTGCAATAATCGATGGTAGTTTGCGAGGAATCATTCTTAGGAGTAGTACTCATAGATGACCCATTTTTAACAATGCCCACGCCGTTCTCATCTGCTTTATTCATCATCGTTTTATTAGCTAATCCCATAAAGTTTTCGACTGAACACACTAGTGAATTGTAGGCCTTTTTTAGTTCATCGAAATCACTACTTTCACCATTATTTATTCCACTTTTAGTTTTTTCTTTAGTTTTAGGGAGTTTTCCTTTCTTTAAATGTAAGATACTTTTTTTCTTAATCATTTGTTTTGATTTCATGTTATCGGATGCTACTCGGACATTATCCTTAACTCTCGAAACTCCCGAATGTCTTGTTGATACCGGTAGAATTTCACGATGAGCTACGCCCTTAGATGTGATTCTCCGTTGCCTTGTTCTCACTGTCATTCTTTCTTTTCTAGTAGGAAAAAAACTACCATAATCTTCCCCGTAATTTTCGTTAAGGGATTCATCATCACCTATTTCAATCAGATCTGGAGAAGAACTTACTGTCCCTTTTTTCGCGTTAATAGTTTGCCTCTTGGATCTTTCACTGTTTTCAATGATTTTTTCTTTGTCTGTGGGTTGAAAATTGTCATGTTCGTATATCTCTGCCTCTTCCTGTTCTTCTGTGCTCGCATTGTTGTCTGTGTCTTCAAATTCATCGTCTTCTTCTAAATCGGATTCAACTTCTTCGATTTTCGAAGAATTGTCCCTGGGTAATGCAGCCCGAGCCATTCTCATAATCTTTTGCAATTTTTGAAGACTTGGTAATGAATAATTACTTGTTTTTTTGTCGACAATATCAATCTTTTCACCTTCAGCTGCTTCATTAATGGAAGATTTTTTCAGGTCTATGTCTGGGCTATCAGCTAGATCTTCATCCTCGTATTCGGTTTCCACAGTATCGTATCGTTCGACAGATTGGTCTTTAGAACCGTTTTCTTCTTTTGCCTCATCATCCCCATTGTTGATCCTATGACAAAAAATAAATAAAACAAATTGATGAATTATTGACAAGTTGAAAGTTAGTAAATATAAAATTTTTAGTAGTTCATTAAAATAAATCATCAAGTTAACAATATTTATACTTTGAACAATTTAGTTGAAGATTATTTCGAGCTACAACTGAAACTGTACACATTTGAATTATGTCAACTGTGAGTGCCGATTGTGATTTTTTTTCCGATATTGATTTTTATTTTTGAAAAAGTTGTGCAGATGGAAATACATTTTTTAAAACCTCCCGTGGAATTGGGTGTTAGAAACAGCGTTCGCATTTTGTTTGAACCTTTAATTGATATTTTATCAATATGATGGACGCGAGCTTTAGGTAGAGGGTCAGTTCGGAAAGTAGTGGGTTCGACTCCTATCCCACATGGGTCAGTTAATAAGTATTTCTTGACAGTGTCAAGAAATGAATCTTGACAATCCCATTCAGGTTACTCCAGGCAACCTTTAGGTGATCGTCTGGAGTGTAGAAAAAAAAACCACAATACCCGCTTGCCAACGTAGTTTCCTCCTCGCCATTATCAGCATCAACAGTAATTGATGTGATAGAGCGGCTGAAATGAATGGTTTCCTCTGGCAATCGAATAAATACAATTATTCAAGTTACAAACGGAGTAATAAAAATAATAACTAAATAACTTTTTTTAGCGATGACCAATTAACATACTGAAACAAATATATTTTAATAAAAAGTGTTAAAGTTTAAAGTAGGATACAGACCACATTTTATGAAATTATTAACTTCCGACGGAAACTTCATAAATAGCTTCATCTCATCGTAACCTACAAATATTTTATTTATGAAAATTCTCGGAATTGAAGCGTTTTCAATCCCGCACTTTCTGCAAACTTTGTCTGTTTAATTAAGTACTAAAACTAGTAAATACCCATTTGCTTTCCACTATAATCGTAAGATAACTTGAGCACCAAGTAGAGAAAAAAGGCGACATTCAAAAATATTGAGCCGTTTGGCGGGACCTACACCCACAAATTGTCAAAATAACGAAGTTATATAGTTCAAACGGCTCATTATTTTTGATTTCTCCTTTTTTCTCGACTTGGTGATTATGTTATCTTACGATTAAAAAGGAAAGCAAATAGTTATTTACGAGTTTTGAGTACCTAATTAAATAGACAAAATTTACCAACATCCAGATTGAAAATGCCCAATTCCGAGAATTTTCGTAAATAAAATATTTGTAGGTTACGATGAGATGAAACTATTTATGAAGTTTCAGCTGGATGTTAATAATTCCATAAAAAAGGGTAAGTTTCATACCACGGACTATTAATTCAAAAATCCAATTTAGAATTTTTATTTTATAAGTTAGATATATACCTTTTCACATTATTTAAAAGACTAATGTTAGATAAGTGGTCGAAATTTGATTACAATCATTATTGAACATTTGAGGGAAACAAAAATGATTACATGATGGCATTAAAGATGTATTACATGTTGCCAACATTTTTTTCTAATCTTATATTGGGTTGGCAAATAATTCCTTTCGGTTTTTCAGGGTGAAATAAATCTTAATTTATAATAGACATACAATTTATTTTAATCAAAAATATATTGACCATTATTTAACATAACTTTTTTCCATCTTTCCACTACCTGCACAATGTTCATATAATGTTTGGAGTTTATTATTAAAAAACTGATCTAAGTGGTTTTTGATGTCCTCTTCCTTTCGGACTTTCTTTCCATTCTTGGAGTTCTGCAGAGACACATTTTGGTGAGGTACATTTTGTGCCATGGGTTCACAATAAAATAAGAAAGACAGAAAACAAATAGAAATAAATAAATAATAAGAAAAATGATAAGAGGAATCCTTTAAAATCCAAGACTCTATCGACAACCGAAAATATATTGATTCAGACTAAAAATAAAAAAAGAAATTAATTGAAAAAAAAAGATATTGTTGTTATGAAAAATATTATCCAATGGGCACAGAAAAGAGACTATAGTATGGTTATCATAGATATTAATAGAACGGAGCAGTGTTGCCGTTTGTACGAGGATCCTCGTATTTGTACGAGGTTATGACGTAATGTACAAGGTACGAGGATAGACCAGCCTCGTACCTCGTACATAACTTTTGCTGAAGTCTGCAGTACAAGGTTATATTTTTATGAATGAAGTATAGAATTATTTTTACTGTATTAATATTTATATTAATATGAAGTACTGAACTTCTGTTGCTTTCTAGACACATAAATTGGAATTATATCTTCTTTAATTAGAGTATGATTATTATTTCATTCATAAAACCATGATTGTATATATATGTTGTTTTTTTTTAATTTTTTAGAAAATAAAATTAATTTTTTTTTTTTTTATATTTTATCCAATGTGAAATAAAATATAACAAACTATATCCATCATTTCCTTCATAAAACTTTTTTTGTAAATATATATTTTTTAAAATGTGTTGTAAAGGAAAATTAAAAAGAAATTTTTACCGTCATTTTTATCGTGCATAAAATAAAATACGAGAAAGTATAACCATTATTTCCTTCATAAAACTACAATTGTAAATATATTCTAGACAAATTAATTTTTTTTAAAATAATTACTGTAATTTAAAAAAAATATTTTCGATTTTTAATCGAGTAAAGTAATTAATTGAAAAATGAACTAGTATTCATAATGAAATAATGAGAAAAAAATGTATTTTTTTAGTGGTCCACATTTGTTTTTTCCGAGATCTAATTGTAAGCTAAATACTGAAACAATCACAATCTATTCATTTCTTATATCATAATGGATATCTCTAAAAGCATTAATGCCCTAAAATTAATTTTATTGGCCTTCCAGAACCACTAACGTCGTTTCATGAAACTAGTTGTTTTGTTTTTACATAAAAGAAAAAAAATTAGTCCTCCCCCAAATTAAATCTTGGATCTACTAATGGATATTGATGAAGAGTACTTTAAGAAGTTTAATTTGCTATTTCAATTTTTATATAAAGTGTCCAGTAGTTTCTAATAAAAATATATAAACTTTTTTATATATTTTATTAAGCTAATTTTTCTTATTTACCCATTAACTTTTATAAAAAAAGTAATGTAAAAGGCTTTAAAATATATGAATAGAGGTAAAAATAAAAAGCTCTGATATAATTTTACTATAAAAAAAACAATAACACTGGGTTTATAATAGTACAAGTTATGAATGAGCCAAGCATACGAGGATGTACGAGGCTTCAGTACGAGGTTTTGTCATAGAGCGCGCGGCAACACTGGAACGGAGTGTATTAAGTTATTTTTCAATAAAGAAATAAATGTTATATTTATACTCGACGCTTATTGCAGACCCACGAAAAATGGTTAAAATTCAAATGAAAGGATGTTGTGTTCGTCCACAACTTCAGTGTAGTATAACCTTAGTATTTTTATGAAAAGTCATTTAAGACACGAAGGAAGTGTAAGCTTGAAATGTGTAAGTTAATAATCAATTCGTAGCTAATTTATTCCATTTCGAAAAATTGAGAGGTTCCGTACGCTATGTGAGACTACATGTGGTAACAACATGTGACAGCATTAGGAACGAAAATATTGCGAAATATTTGTAGTTCGGGATAGCATGAACATAGATAGGTACCTGGTTATGTGATTTGATTCTTATACAGGTTATATTGCGTACTCAAGAATATGATACTGCATCTATCTTAACATAATGTAGGTATGTAGTGGAAATGTAGCAACTTACCTTCCTCTCTTATTCACCGGTTCAATTGTTAAGCTTCTCTGAATGCATAGAAATATTATTATTATTACACTCATCCGCATTCTTATTCTTCTCGATCATATTTACTTAGTTTACCTTCCCGTCTAAAAATCTTGTCCATGAAAAAAGTCTATATCATGTTTGTTAACAAATATGAAAAAATCTACCCTTACAGCTGTTGATCTCTATGAACGGGTAACTCATTTAAATAAAAGCCGTTTCTGTGGTTATCAGAGGAACCTAAACTAACATAATTATACGACCAGGTTATTGTGAACTTCTAGATAACTTAGTTTCACAGCTGTGTACGATTCTACTTCAGTTCATCTTCTTTGTCACATAGGCCCGATACCAATTAAGTTAATGATAAAAATTGTTAGAGGATTGTTTTACTACTTAAATATTGTTAGAATAAGACTATTACTTATGCCTTTTAAAATTATTATTGGTTATTTTTACTGTTTTCAAGGTCATATTATAAACATAACCTAATGTCCAAATAATGTTCTTAAATGATGAATTTATCTTTCGTTCGTAGCATTAATTAATTATTTTGAACGATGTGACAAACAAAATTTTTTAAAATAATTTCTTTAAATAAATTTGTGTATTAAAATGAAGTTCAATTAAAAATAATAATATTTGACATTTTTAAAATAATTAAGATACAAGAAGATAATGAAATCGAGGGATTGGGGATTGCAAATAGGATTGGGGAATAAACTCTACGAAAAGTCTATATTAATCTCCTAAGTCTATATTAAGTATAATTGTATTCTTAAAATATTTTTACTTTCACTTATGTATATATGTAATAAAACGTAAGGTTAAATATTGCGACCGTGAAAATTTTTGAATCAAAATTTTTCAACGAAAATACACATTTTGGGGTATCCTGAGTCCAAATAACTAAGTCCCGAAAAATGGTCCGTGTGTCCGTGTGTTTATGTTAGTAGTCTAGCTCAAAAAAGAAAAGTACGAAACTGATATTACGTATTTAAGATAGGTATATGCCTTAGATGTGACAGCAACTTTTCCCTTAAAATCGGCTAACCGGAAGGGCCACGTTATTTCAAAGGTGAAACACATTTTAACCATTTTCTCGAAAACGCCCTCTAACGATTTTGATTAGACTCGGTGTATCATTGTATAATTAAATGGTCTTTATTATCAATCAGGTATTATCACCATTGATGTCACTTTACAGGACTTAAATGCTCAATGTTCATATGCGTCTTTCTCTAAAGTACCATTGATATGGTTTATTTTAAAAATGTAATCATCACACATTATTTAGAATTACGAAAAAATGCTAAATATAACTTTTGAAAGAATTTGATAATTGAATAAACGAGAAAAAAAAAATGCTTATCCAGGTCGAAAATGAATCTTCGGAAATACTAGTCAGAAGGTATACGTATAATATATATTTGGAAAGCGGAGAATTATAGAAAAAATAATACCTAATATACGAAATTGTAAGAAGTAACGGAGAGCAAAAAAAAAAAAATATAAATAATAATTTTTGAAAACTAATAACATTTAACGCAAATCATATGTTTTCAAGGAAATTAAATGAAATTTGCTAACTAAATGTAAACTTTTAAAATATTTTTAAGTTTGAAAAGTATTTTAAATCCACCTAATCAAGGCAATGACATTGTTTAAAAAACTATTTCATTGTACTTGTGAGAAAGAAGAGATAAAATATAAAATCATTTCATGGATGTATACAGCATATGTTTATAACCTTAAATACATTTACTGTGGTTTGATAATTATAGATCTGATATTATATTTAAATAATCAACGTCCGTTTATTTAGAAATATTGTCATGCAACTTATTAGAACATTAAATTAATAAATAATTTGATAAATCTTTCCTTTGTGATGTTGCAACAGTATCCACTACTATTTCATTGTGCTCGTGTGAAAAAAGAAGTGAAATACGAAAATATTTCATGGATACGTTTATAAACCTAAATATGTTTACTGCAGTTTAATAACTCTCGATCTGAGCTTATATTTAAATATTTAGGTATTTATAGTCCGGCCATTCCAAAAAATCATCATGTAACCGTTTAAAAAATCAAATTAATGAATAGTTCGATGAAATATCTTTTTGTGATATTCCAACTTACAATCAGTGCGACAACTGTCTATGAAAGACAATGCATTCCGTTTTAGTAAACTTTACAATGGAAAATAACATTTTAATAACTGATAGTCGTGCAATCCATAATTAACCAGTGATATAATAAATAGGACTTTAGTTATTTTAATGGTATTTATCATTTGTTAGCCGTTATTTTCTAGATTTAGCTGGGCTTAAAATTCATATCAAAAATATTATAATAGCCGAACATGGCCAAAAAATAATTTCTAAAGCTGAGCGGTAAGTGAAAGTTGTGTGTTGCGCTCAACAGTCGAAATAAAAACTGTGTTTCATCACCCTCTGGTCTTATTTAAAAATAACTATAAACAATAATAACAAGTAAATTACAATAATATATAGGTATATTAAAATAATACTTGACTATAATAAGACCTATTTGGACTTACGGAGTTGAGCTATGGGGCTCCACTAAACCATCGAATTCCTCTCCCATCCAATCCTTACAATCCAAAATCCTTCGTAAAATCCTCAATGCTCCTTACTTTGTCACTAATAAAATTATCCATAAAGATCTTAATGTTCCTTATGTTTCAGATCTGGCCCAATCCAGATACCTATCCTTTCATAATAAACTTCAGAATCATACCAACCCTCTCGTTTCTAACCTTGCTTCTTCTTCAATTCCTGATAACCCTCCGAGGCGTCTGAAAAAAAGATGGCCCCGTGATCTCCTAATGTAGTCATATCATTAGAGTGCTACCATTGGGTAGTTAATCAGCAAGTGTATTCATGTCATTATATCAATTATATCCAAATTTACTTGATGTATTTATGTAATACAGTTGTAAATGTCATAAAGAAATAAAAAAAAAAATTATAATATTCTAGAATTCACCTTTGGACTACTTTCTTTTTGAGACTGAGATGTCAATTAATAGTACTTGCCTTTCAATTCTCATCGTTTTGAAGCTTTTATTTTTTAAATATTTTATGTGTTCATATTCTGTGTAGTATTAAAAAAAATTGAAAACAAAGGTTAGAAAAAAATAAAGAAGAGATCATAGAACAGACTCAATTTATTATTCTAATCGATCACACTTTAACGGTTAAAAATACAATATAATTTCTCATCGATATTTACAGTATTAACATAGTTAACAATTAACATCAATTTAAGCTATACTAAAGAATTATATACTAATATTATATTTTGATTTTCATTGTTCATGGTTAAGTATTCTTTTTGTTAATATATTGTAGAAGGAATTTCCAATCACACAACAAATCTTTTCTATTTCAAATTAACTTTTTACAACAATACAACTACATACATGTGTTATATAATAACACAAATAATAATAATAATACCAATCAATTCCTTCCAAATGTCTTTTACTGGGATTAACCATTGACTCTACTACCACTCCAACACTTTTTCTACTTTATAGCTTCATAATAAAAGTTACATGAATTTTTAAATTTAGACTTTCTTGATTCTATCAATGTGTATGTGTAAATATACATAGGGCTTTTCATATTTACAAAAGTCTTTTCACAAGCTCATACCACTATATAGTAAATCAATATTGTACCACACAATCGTCAAGAGATAACTAATTATTATTATTCAGGATATAATTATATATTTAGATCAAAAACAACAATTGATTTAATTGATGACTACAGCCTCCTTGTTTTCGTAGATCTTCATCGTCAAGTTGTTTCAAGCAAATACCGCCACATTTGAAAGTCAATTCTAGTCAAAAATGCTAATGTATTTTATATGATAAAAAAAACTTTATACTGTTTATATATAAATATAATAAAGTCGTTACTAGCAGATTAACTTTAAATTTCACGCTGCTCACGGATATATTCCTGCTGAGAGGTAAAAATGTAGTTTTGAGTATTTTTTGCTCTTAAAACATAAAAAGGGATTTCACATGAGCATATATATATTTTTATGTTTTAAGATCAAAAAATACTCAAAACTTCATTTTTACCTCTCATCAGGAATATATCCGTGAGCAGCGTGAAATTTAAAGTTAATCTGCTAGTAACGACTTTATTATATTATATATTATATATATATATATATATATATATATATATATATATATATATATATATATATATATATATATATATATATATATATATATAAAGAGAGAAAGAGATGTATGTACATATATTTTAAAATAATATTTTTATTTGGTTTCAGTTAAAAAAAAAAAGAAGGTAAAATTGTCCATCTCAAAAGGTTAGATTACCCATTTTTGATAAAGTATATTTAGTCATCTAATAAATTAAGTGATTTTTTTTTTATACGTTTTATTCATGGAATATAGAGTAAACTAAACTATATATAATGATTAAAACAATAAAATAGAATGAATAGATATAGAGTTTATTACTCATCAAGAAATAAATATTTGATTGATTCGCTTCATTATTGGATATAAGGAATTGTCTCCCATTCTTGTATCCACTGATAACAATTCTTCATCCCTGCGAAATGTATTTATTTTATTTATATTCTAGACTTATCAAAGGAGCCTTACAGAGTGTAATAGGTGGTGAAATATTAAAACAAAAATATTTTTTTTAAAATAATAGAACAATATAAAAAAATAGTATTTTTATATAATATATTTTTTTAATATTTTGAAAAATATAAATTATTATGTTAAATAGCAACCATGTCCGTGCGCTCGTACTGGCCATAATTCCACAGAAACTATAAATAAAGTTCTATTTGAACCTTTAAATGAACGCTTTTTATATTGTTGCTCTTTTAATTTTACCAAAAAACATTTTTAAATGAGGTAAAAATGTTATTATTATTATTTCAACAACATTTTTAATTGAGTGAGGGACTGTGGAATACGGAAGGACTCTCCTACTTTGTCCCCAAGCCTGCGAATGTGTTTTATTAATTATATAATACAGAGAAGAATGATAAGAATTTACTTAAGAACTATAACAGACAAACTGAATCAGACCAAATAATCTGAATGATTGAGGCAAGTATATCCAGACGAATACATAAGAACTAAGGAAAAGAAATAAATTCAAGGCTTGTATTAATTGTTTTTTGGTTTTTTAAATATGAAATTGGACCGGTAGAACAGCTAGGGAATATCAAATACAGAGTGAAACTTCTTATGTTATTTATGAAAATACCTTGCAGATGGAAAAAGTTTTTTCAGAGGAATTAAGAATATATTTGCAGTACTTTGAGGTAAACTTTTAACTATTTTATGTAGATTTTTTATATGTTTTCAATTGTTTGGTTCATAGACATTTAATATGTCATTTTAAATCATAGTAGGGACGCAAAATGGACACCTCACCTTGCAGAACCACCAATCAAGAAACATTGTTAAGCATACATTGAATAATGTTAACAGATATCAATATTTCATGTTATGAAGGAAAGAAGGTTGGGCGGGACATGTAGTGCGAAGTAATCCATCAAGAAGCTTTAATGTAATAACATCTAATTGTTTGCAACAAATCATGTGGAATGCCGAAAAACAGATGAATAAATATACTCAACAAAGATTTTGCAGAGCTGCATGCAGAAAACTGGAAAGCAATAGCTCAAGGCTGGTTCAGATGGCCAAATATCTACATGGTCTGTAAAGGTGAAATACCTTATCCTTCGTAACACTTATTATAATAATTCACGATATAAGGAAGAATAAAGGGGACATTAATTCAACCATTCTATTCTAATAATACTATCTTTTACAGTCCTTATACTTATTACTTAGATGAAGGAATATAAATCTTTTTTGGGACTCATTTCAGTTAGATTCAGCTGATAAAAAGTCCTGTTACAACAGAGGTTACTCTTAAGCCCTGTATAGAGAGATGAGAGCGTGGTAGAGGTGATAGGTGATGGCTATGTTGATCAAGCTGACCACGGCACCTCCCTCGACCAGCCCTGCCACTGAGGGTGGCACTCCTTTTGGCGGCGCGGAGGATGGAAGGACAGATCCTGCTGCCACTTTCTTCCTATGTCAGAAGTACCTTTGGTGCTCCTTTTCCAGGACTCCGTCCAGCCAATGTCTGAAGGCCTGCTCTGCCTCGTACCTTCTTTCTGTTTGTCTCTGCTCCTCTTTCTCTTTCTTCTTCGTCTCCTTCCTCCTACAATAATCTCAAATTATTATGAGCTTGCCCCAGATTTTTCTTAAACCATAGGATATTGGTTATGGGATACTTTTTGAATGAATAAGCAATGTTTCTTTTTTTTTATGGTTTCATTAAGGATTCATGGCCAATATAATATAATAATATAATATATTAGTCAGCCAGCTGAAATTAAAGTAAATACATTTTTTTTATGGATCTTTAATAAAGTAAATCACCACAAATCAGACAATTTTAGCATTGAATGCAAGTTAGATATCACTATTAAATAAGGTATGATTAGGCGAAGAGTTTTAATAATAGTGGGTTGATGGTTGACTGTAGTGAATAATGAAGAGAATGATAGTTGGGGTGATCAGTAAAAAATAAAAATGGCAAAAATAAATAATCATATTATAACATTTGAATGAATTTCAGACCTCCATCAAGGTTGAGAAAAGAACCAGATAACAATTGGTATGAGAAACATAAACAATAGAGGTGAAAAAACCAAAAACTTCAAGTAAAATGAAGTAGATAAGTGAACATCGAAGTAAAATAAAGTAGGTAGAATAATGACAACAAGAACTAAGAAATAAATAATAATAACGGTTACAAAGTGTAGACTAATGAAGTAAACATAATCAAAATAAGATAACATAAGTAATAAAATGGTAGTCTTAGAATAAAATATTAAACAGATGAGAAAAAAAAAAGAAAATGAATTTACGTAAGAAATAAATATAAATAGAAAAGTTGAGATATTGTAAATAAAATAGTTAAATAGAAAATTGAGATGTTGTGAAGTCTATCAAAATGCACTGACTACGTATAGTGGAATAAGTAGTTAAAATAAAGTAAAAAATAAATGAGCAAATGTATCAAATGTAATAATAATAATCAGCAAATGTAGCAAATAAGTTTTAGTAATACGTTTTGAGGATTAACATGAAACAATACTATAATGTACATCCGGAACATTGGGCAAGGATCCCAAGCATTTCCGATTGGAGGCGCTATCCATTTGATTTCCGTGTGGATCAGATAATATTTGACTCGGATAATTCCCATCCTGGTTAGGATGGGACGATAACTTTCAGGTACCAATCCGTTACTTGTTGACAAAATAACTTACTGAACTGATTTTCTCATAATTATAAAAAAAAATTTACCGGAGTAGGATATTTACTTAATTCTTGTTATGTATCTTACAGGTAAGCAATATTTTTTAAAAATAAATGTTGCAAATGAACGTCCTGGTGTGCACATTTTAACAGTACTTCAAAGAGAGTCTACTTTCACCCAATTCGAGAACATTATTCCTTCACAATTTTTTTTTTTTTACTACATCAAATTTTATTCTTTGTAATTAACCATATAATTTATTAACAAAAGATATATCATAGTCTGGAATCTGATGTCTCCTAATTTATTTAATTACCTATACTGTTAGGTTTACGATTCTGTAGTTCGTCAGAGCCAACAACCACGATTCCCAAATTTGATGTGCTACAGGATTATTGATCTATTGACTTTTATGATTTAACTTACTATTTTACTGATTTAGCCCACATGTCAAAATGAAACGGAAGACCCTCGATAGACGACTCAAACTACTTTATTCACTTTTTTCCAAATCATCAAAACTAGAACTGAGACAGAAACTAAATAGATACCTATACTAACTTAAGCCAATATGCACTTATTCATCACAAATATATGGTACAGCCAAAAATACCCACTTACACAAACTTCAAACTTTCCAATCAAAAATATTACGACTTATAACTAAAGCACCTTGGTACGTGACAAACAAAACCGTACATACTGACTTCCTCCTGCTTATAGTTGACCAACACGTAAGAACTCTTTACGATTTCACAATAATTTACATTTACATACTAATGTACTAATCAGAAATATGGCTTCAGCTGACATTCCCATATATACGAGGATGAGACTAAAAAGGTGCTGGATGAGAGATTTAATTCCTTAACAAACCATTGTAATTGACTCAAGGCAGGGAATAGGTACTGCTGGGTGCTATCCTATCCCATGCTACATTAATCTAAAAATCTTGCTACATCAAATATTATGAATTTTCAAAATTAAATTTTCTAATTAAAAAAAAACAATAATAAAATAAATGTTAATAAGATAATCTTTATTGACCTGGTTAAAATATTTACATAAGCCCAATTAAATGTAACAAAACAAATAAATTAGTAAAAATCATTTAATTACATGAATAATATCTAAAAACTTCTGAAAAATAAATTCTTGGTATGCATACTTCCGTAGTGAACATTGAAAACGAATATCCGCTTTTGTTGGCCTATAATTATTTAATTATTAATATATTCATAACATAAACAACTTAGGCATTATAAGGTAGTAAGCACTATAAAGATTTAAACATTTAAATTATTAATATTTACCTTTCCTTAGCCAACCTCTCTTTGATCTCCCTGTCCTTGGCCTCCCTCCAAGCCCTGAAGCAAGACTCCGCTTCTTTCTGCCTCTCTTCTTTCTGCTTCTCTTTGTCTTCAGCTTTCAGTCTTTCTTCTGCTGCTTCCTTGGCGGCTTGCTTCTTCATTTCTTCTTCAGCCTTTTTTTTCCACATCTCAAAAGCCTGCGATCGTTAACCAACAATTATTATAAATATACATAGAGCCCACCATAATAAGAAAAACAAATTTGATCCAGAAGAGCAAAAGCACTTGATATATGGGTGATTCTCATTTTAAGGGCTTCTAGTTTTATGCTTAAGTTTTAGTCCATTACAACTTTTATGTGATTAGTTAAGTCTAACTTGATTTTTTTCCATTGCTATACGGTGAAAAAGTATTTCTACATAATGAAATATTAAAATATTAAAGAATAGTGTGATTTTATAATTAGTTAAGCTAATAAAATGTTATTATCACGTATTGGCTCACTCCCACTTTTGTTGTAACCAATTTTTTTTTCTTTCGAAACATATGTAAAATGATTAAGGCATTTTGAATTAAATATATTTTTAAACTTTTGTTAACAGTGGAGTATGTTTATGTATTTTCAAACATTATCCCGCCACTTTGATGTCAAGCAAAAAGCATAACATCAGATATTTAAGCGTTGAAAATAGGGAACAGTGGGAAAATTTCTTCAGAGTGTTGTAATAGCCATGGAGTTAAAGGACAGCCATCAACGGATAGACTGCCCTATTGAAGAGCCTACCTCTACTCATTCATACGTTTCTTGCACGTTGAGCACGTACCTTTATTGTTGTCATTACCACCGCGTATATTATCTCAATTATTAAATTTATAATAATTATCGTTTTACTACGATTTGTGGACAACTCAGTTGGAAAACACATTTCAAATTTCTGAGCAAAGACGCTTTTGATCTTAGCCATTTACTCAGATATGACATGCTGAGCGGCAATGGAAGGTATTTAGAAAATTGTCATCAAAATTATTAAATTTTTAGAAGAGAAGGGTGATCATTCAAAATAAAAATAGCACAACTAAATATTATTATTTATTTTTGCTATTTTTTTTTTACCGATCATCCCAACCATCCTTCTCTTTAGTTATTCACTACAGTCAATCATCAACCCACAATTGTTAAATTTTTATCATTAAAATTGCCCATAATCTGAGAATCACCCATATATTTTTTATTGCCTTATTTCTACTTACTTTTTTATTATATTATAAAAATATGTTGTTTTTATTATATTTTGTTATATAATTTTAGTAAAATAACTGTCTCCAAAAGTTTTTTTTTTTAATAAAATTATTTTTTTAATTAATTATTTTATTTTATTTTTTTAAATTCCTGTTAGATATTCACTCTACAGAGTGGAGAAAAAAAATACGAATTGTATATTAATTCTTCAATAAGAAAAAAAATTTCTTACGATTATCACAAACTGATTTTTAATGTTTAAAGTTTTCAAAGAGCATTTTAATGAATTATTATAATTTAAATCTGAAGGGTCAATATTTGAGATAATACTATTACATTGGGACAAAAAGAACTGAAAACAGAAAGGTTTTGACAATATTTTGCTCAATATATTTTAGAATATTGAGTTATTTAACAAACAAAATTAAAATTAAAGTCATTTTGTGATTTACGCAGCGACATATTCAATTAAACATATCTCATGGCCACCGTTCACGTAGTTATCGATCGGAAGTCTTTCATAAGTTAACGAATCGGAAGCAGTGAAGACTTTATAAGTAATGGTTTTATTCATAATGTCAGTTACAAAGGGCTTCTAACATACAGAGTAATATACTATGGATATATGGATTGACTACACGAGTTCACTCCAGGTCTCCTACAGTGAAGAGTGTGACTTCAAGAATGTAACTGCATGAGTGATTAGTCCAGAGAAGCATGGGGTTTATATTCCCAAGAATATCAAGGGGTGAAGGGAAGTCGGAAGAGGATGGCAAAGGAAGTTATCGATAGTTAATATTCTTAAGATGAGGTCTGTGAGAAAGTGCCCTTTTGCTGAAATCGGTTATTGTTCCCTAAGTCTTGATAATGGGTCTTCTGTACAGTCGGTCCATTCTAGATAACTATTTCTAAGCTATCAGAGATAGCTTGACCTTGCTATCTATGGCTTTGTGTTTTTATGCTTTGAGTCGTGAGAAACTAAAATATAATACACGATTCACCAATTGGGATATTTAACAAAATAAAAGTTAAATTAATATCATTATTATTATTATTTGTTACGGATTAAGTCGATTCCATAACTATAAATGCTGTAGAGGGGATGAAATACACATTAAAGTGTAATAAAATAATGTTTTAGAATATTAAAAAAAAAAACGACTAACTTTCTGAGCTTCGATCCTTTTTCTTTCTTTCTCTTCTTCTGCTTCTTTCTTTTCCATTTCTTTCTTTCTAGCTGCTTCTGCTTCTTTAGCCTTTTCTTCCTTCCATTTCAAATAAGCAGCTTCTATAGCCTCTTTATCCCCGTGAGTCCTGTTCGGTGCAAATCTTTTCGGTCTGCAATATAACCCAAATCTCATTATAAATAATTGCAATTATTAATATTGTTTTAAAATAAGAAACATAATTTCGTACATTACCCTTTTTTATCATCTTTTTTATTCTTCTTGTTTTCTTCTTTATTTTTCAACCACTCTTCAAATTTTAATTTACTTTTCTTCTCTTTTTCTAATTTTTCCTATATTATAATTTTCAGTGCTTAATATCAAGTGAAACTCATATTATCAATAATTAAAATTTGTATTATAATTACTAGTTAATTATGGATAATTAGTTAATTTTATGAAATCTGAGATAACTTACGTTTTCTTCTCTCCATCTCTTTTGTTTTTCTTCTTGAATCTTAGCTTCTCGTATTGCTTTGGCTTCCTGTTGCTTTCTGAAGTACCACTCCTCGTACACGGCCCGAGAGACAAGTCCACGACTAGCAGTTTCTGAAATACAAAAAAGTTATAATAAAAAAATAATCCTCATATGTTATTTTATATAAATAAACAGCAAAATAATAACTGCTCAATTTTCTTTCAGTTCTGCAAGTAGACATAATAATGTGTAATACAAATTTAACATTATTGTTTTTACAGGATTGTTAGAATCTAATTTACCTTAATTTAAAATTTCGGCTGAATGACGCGAATCGAGAAATATGAAAACGAGAGAATCTAAATATAAAAGGAAAGACTGTTGTTCGTTTGTAATCCCAAACTCCTAAAACAACTGAAATAATCTTTACCTAAATTGAACTACATCTCAATGATGTCTGAAAGCTTTCTGAATAATAAGTTTTATTAATTTTTCATATATTAATACACAATATAAAGTTGTAGAGTTCTATTTTGTAGAGATTGAGGGGGGAGAGGGGAAGGCTCGATAGACCGTTTATCATGAAAGACTTAAGCCTTATAAAATCAAGCTACGATCCACTAACCATAAACACTCCAGTTAATCACTCCAGATAACTCTAGGAAATAACACTTGTTAAGTCCTCTATAAACATCGTTTACGATTTCTATAAATGCAGTGCGCAGATAAACGTTTAATTAAGATGGTGGTGAATTGAACCAGTATAATTTTTAAAAATGTATTAATTTATTGAAATATACAATTTTATCACATAAATACAACTACTAAATATGATGAAAAAATAAAAATAATACCATAAAGAGACTTGTGTGGACACTAAAGAATGGCGGCACTCCCTAAATAGTTTTAAGTAAGAAGATCACAAGGTAATCTACATTTCAGACGCCAAAAGGATTATCAGGAAACGAGGAAGAAGCAAAGCTAGAAACCAGTGGATTCGGATGGGACTGGACTTTATCATCAAAGGATAGAAGATATCTGGCTCGGTCTAAATCAGCGCCATATCGTCATTAAGTCTATAATAATAATAAAATTAAGGTCTTTAATAATGGTTATAATTTTGACAGAATATGAAGCATTAAGGATTCCACAAATGATTTTAGATTGTAAGGATTGGATAGGATAAAAATTCGATGGTTTGGTGGAGCCCCAAAGTTCAACTCCGTGTGTCATGTAAAAGAACCTTTTGTAATTAATTGAAAGTTTGAAACGTTTTTCTAGCAAATGTCGGAGCAGCTAGAAACGTCGAATAGTTTCTTGTCATTTAAGTGTTGTATGCTGATTCCAAGTAAGACGTTTGTCCAATTGGGATCCTAGGTAGCTCATCTGTTCAATTGGTAGCATTGGTAGCGTACAAAATAGGGAACGTTTAGGATTTTACGAAGGATTTTGGATTGTAAAGATTGGATACGAGAGGAATTTGAAGGTTTAATAGAGCCTCAAAGCTCAATCCCGTAAATCCAAATAGGCCTTAATATAGTAATATATAAGAGGCTTTTGTAAATATTTGGAAGTTTAGAGTGTTTGTCTAGTAAGTGATGCAGTAGTCGAAAATGTCGAGCCGTTTATAGTCGTTTCAGTCTGGTATGAGGGTTATAAGTGAGTCGTTTGCCCAGGTAGAGTCCTAGGTATCGAATTTGCTCAACAGGAATAAGTGGGGTGTTGTTAAAGGATACTGTTGGACAGGAAGTCATAGATTTACGAGAAAGAGTAATTTTATGAGATTTATTAGAATTTATTTTAATCCTCCAGTTTTGACATTACTGTGTGATTGAAGAATTTAGGATGCAATAGATGGAAGATAGGATACAGGTGTCATCGGTATAGGTGGTGATGAGTGTTAGAAAGGGTTGGGATGTCAGCTGTATAAACTGTGTATAAAGAATCTAGGATACTGATAAACATGATTAATTCAGATATGTCTACATTTTTAAATATTTATTTAAATCACTGCTTAAATCTATATATGGTATGTGTTTGAGTATACAGTGTGCGGATACACTTGTTCGACCACTTTTCCTGATTTCCTGGAAACGCTTCGATCCGATGTTATACACTGACCACATACACCAATTTCGACATCAATGGGATGAATTGTGAGAACGGACAAACATACCAGACTCCCTCTTTTTTCAAGAAACGCTTTGAGCACTAAGGTTTGTCCTTTTGGGTTGAATACGAAAATATCTTTTGGAAAAATGTACGCAGCATCGTCCTCTTAATCATACAAACAAATATAAACTTATTCAAACGACAAAGTGAGAAATAGCGTATATATATATATATATATATATATATATATACGTATGAATTCAAGGTTAAATCGTTAAGGAAATTGAAACAGCTTTTCATGAAATTCTAAAACAAGTTCTCTTTGGTGTTAAATAAAACAATTTTTTTTCCCGAAATAAATATAGGTGAATTGAAGTGCTCGAAGCAAAAATAATGAATATATAAAATAAATAAACATTTTCGTGTGTGGCACTTGTCATACAAAATCGTCATATATAAATATGATAATGCAATGGTAATTGAAAAAAAAAAAAAAAAGAGCTTCTATCAAATATTTCAGTGCCTTTGAAAGTATTTCTGTATATACAATTTAGAAAAAAAATGTAGTTTCAAATACATTTCTCTTCTTTCTAAAAATAAAAATTGAACTTTTCATAATACAGCTCTTTTTAATACTCAATGAGTAACCGTAATATATCTTGCTGATAAGAAATTTAATGGGAATCATGGAGTAATTCAAAGTTAGAATGGAATATAAGTAGAATTAACCCTATGACGTAATGGTAAATTTTAATGAAACTTGTATAGAAATGTTATCTTCCTTAAAACAGTGATTTTTATTTATTTATGTTTTTTGGGTGAGAGAGGCTGACTGCTTGTTTATAATTACTTTTATTAAACCTAAATTATTTTGAATAAATCAATTATTATTTTAAAGTGATTTAATAAAATAATAAAAAGAAACAAAAAGAAAGTATTTAAATTACTGTTATATTATTGGAATGTTTTGAAAACAAATTTTCGACTCTTTCAAATACCAGAAGAAGTATAGCTAAACAAAGAAAGTTTCAAATATATAAATAGAAAAGAAAAATATCGTTTTGATATCTTCAACGTATCATCAGTCTGCAATTAGGAAATTACTTAATATCGTTATAACGCTTTCGTTATTGCAAATAAATTATGAGAAATAAAACAAAAAGCTGTTAACAAAATAAGTATTTTAATGGATTACACTCATTGTGGTGACACGCAACCACAAGCGGTCGTGGTCAATATATGTTGAATAATTAATTGGCAACCTGATACGTCAACAAAGGTTGGTTATTGTGACAGTACAAGACAGATAAAATAACTATCATTTTGAACTAAAGACACTTATATAAGCACCCCGTTCTTACAATGCTGTAAGCACTTGTTAGAATTTATAGTTTTACTGTTTTCTGTTTAACACACTATCAAAATATTCATTTAAGGAGAAATAATATTTAACAGACAACCTAATTAAGTTACGATTGGTTCATTTACTCCTATAAATGTTCAGTTTGTGTAAAGGTAATAAACATTAAAAAGAGAATTTTTTTATTCATAGATCAAGATCGTTTATATCTTCATCATCGTTTTATACCATAGTTATTATTACTAGACGTTTCAACCAACAGTTATGCCATTTCTTATTTATTTTCTCAATCACATTTTTTTCAACTCTAGAAAAAAACACAGTCATTTATGACAAGGGAAAACCTAAAATTAAAATTTAGTACATTTATGAGTCAAGGTAATGAAAAAATAGTGACTATGATTTTGGCTAATAATGAATAAAATAAGACTTAAAAATGACCCAAGTGTAGGCCGAAACGTCGGTTTGTAAAATAACTATTGCAATGCAACAAAACAATGATGTACAAACCAATTTTATTTATAAAAAAAAAGAGGTAATGAATTTATGACACCGAGAATTGGGAATTAAATATTCGAACAATCGGCTATTGTAAAAGAATATCACTTGAGGTTCAGGCATCGCCATCTTTAGTGTTTTGCAAATCTACTCATATTTGCACTCTCTTTTTTGAGTATGAAGCTTATAATCTGTCAATGGTTTGTAAACTTTCATTACTGCTACATTAAAATTAACTATGTATATATCAAGTTCAGTTATTGCGAAAACATTTAAAAATGAAAACATGCCGTGCACTTATAGAGATAAATTATTTATTCGATAGATCTTTTCAGGCTAAGCATAGTCATAGGTTTTAAACATTCATCTTTTTCGTAAGTGATAGTATACAAAAACAAACACATATTTAGAGCACCATTGCAATATTATACATAAATAAATATACATGGCATATCTTACTTATACAGGAAAGGGTATTATGTTAAGACCAACCTGCTTCGGACCTGTTGTCATCGAGGATGGCCGATCTGACATCTTCAGTGGACACGGTCCTCCGCTCCACCCTGGTGAAGACTTTGGGCCGCGCGGCCTTGACCAGCGGCCGCACGGGGGCCGGCTCAGGAGGCCTCGGCGGGGGCGGTACCCCGATCAACCGGAGGCTGCGGCGGAACTGGTTGAGGCCCGCGTTGCAGTGGGTAGTGTCCGACATTTTACTCGATGGTCGTTTCCTCTTGTCATAGTCCCTATCGCATTTGGAACAACACAAAAAATAATTGGAGTGGGTTATATAATATGCTTATTACAAAAATATCTATGAATTACAATAGTAAAAAAATATTTTATAAAATGGTGAATGTATTTTTTCAATTTTTTGATAGATTTATAATACATTAGGTCACAATAAGGATAGCGCGCTTGTAGTTACACATGCTATGATAGTGGTGTGGTGGTTATTTACTTGAAAGAAATCTATGTTTATACGCTATGAAAAACTTTCCCAAAAAACCAACATAAGTCATAAAATAAAGACTAAATTAGAATTATGAATGTATATAGAATATAATATGAGTCTCTTATTTCCGACCTGAAGTCTAATCGATTTTTCTTTAAATCTTGATAAGTATTGATTCCCTTATAAAAACATCCAACGAATCCGATTGTGCAATTATCCTTTTATAAAAAACCTACCAAAATATTATAAAAAGCGGTGTGATTATCAGTTTATTTCCTAATACCCATTTTTTTTTTCAAAGAAAGTTATGAAACTTACAATTCTCAAGCATTGGTAAAATGGTCCTTGAAGTTCAAATCTTTCCAAAAGCGGCCCTATTAAAATTACAATGTTGTTAATTACTACTAAAACAGTCAGTGAATTTGAGAAATGTTCCACAAATAGAGAATTTCTTAATATATTTTTTTTTAAATATTGGTTTGTTGACATTTAGAAATAAATATATGTGTATAGTAATATTTAAAGTCTACTTTTAATCGTAAGTATTCGGGAGTTGATACATGTATTTATAAATAAATAAATAAGAAATGAACACAAAAGAAAAATAAATAGAAGAAAAATAAAGAAACATTTAACATACACAAACTTCTATCACAGCAATAATTGTTGATAAGTATAATCAGCTTAAAACTTTTAACTAAAAAAAAATATACATAATTAAATAAATTAAATAATTAAATAACAGAATTCTTCTTTTCAGATGTTATTTATGATTATTCAACTTTTTAATAGTAAAATTTATTGATTTTCTAAAAAATAATTACATTATCTACATATTTAGAAACTTTTAAGGCATTGGATTTTTAATAACATTATTTGAAGCAGTTTAAATTAAAGTAGATCAAGTCAATTTAATTTTTTTTAAGAAAACAAATGTTTTTTAATTTACTTTAATTACACTGTCCTACAAAAAAGTATTTTTTTGCCAATATCTTCGATGAAAACTGTTTCTCTTGACTAATTTTGGTGTAAGAAACTCGAATTAAATGCCAGAATAACCACTATATTGTCCATAAGTATAACTAGTATCGAATACAAAAAATTAAGTTATTAGAAGTTACACGATCATTTTTTTAGGCTTTAAAAGTACTTTATTATTTTTGAAATACTTTTACAACCCACAAAACATAAAGTTACAACTTCTCTCGTCAAGAACAACGCTGTAGTACAGTTTATTTAGAACTTTTCTTCTTTCTTTGACGATTATACTGATGTTCTGGAAAATCCCTTACAACTTTCCAACAGTAGTCTGCGAGCATTGAAGTATACCATCGACATCGAGCATTCTCGATATCGATGGTATACAAGGTATATTCTCGTTCCATCGAGAATATACCTTGGCGAAATTGCTCACGATGTTCGTCACTTACAGAACCACAATTTTCGGAAAAAAAAAATTCAAATGAGAGCGAAGAAAATGAATCATGAGTTACACGTTACAATCGAGATCTCTGTACTTTTCAAGGAAGGTTTGGACTAAGATAGCATAATTGTCCTCTCTTTTGTTACCCAAGAAACCATTAACTAAAGCTTTAAATGCTTCCCATGACACTAAAAAATACAGCCTCTCTAACCTTAGCTTCACTTAAGAGAAGAAAATTTCCTCTTAAGTACTTAAATACCATTCCTAATTGGTCCATTTCTTTGACAAAAATTTTTCATGAGCCCTAACTTTATATGTACTAGAGGCAAAATGATTTTTTCAGGGCCCACAAAAGGGTTGTATAGAACATTTTTTTTACAGGGGTCAGGGTTTATCTTTGAGGCTATTCTTTCCTGATGTAATGAGATGCTCTTTCCCGACTGTCCCACTCACATAAGAAACTATACTTTGTATATCCCTGTTGCATGCCGAGAAGAATTGCCACCACTTTCAGGACCCCACAGATTTGGTATTGGTAGTCCTAGTATTTTGGAGTTTTTGGATGGATATTAGAAGGGTTTTCATGTTTAGGTAAGTTTCCTTCATGTGAACAGCGTGGCCAATAGGGATATGGGGAAGTAAATTGCCATTGTGCAATAGAACTGTATTGAGGAATAGGTTTGATGTATCTATGAACACCTTCCATTCCTAAGGGTTATGATTTATATTTAATTCTGTCATCAGACCTGAGATATCACTACGGGAAACAAGGTTCTCATACTTTTGAAAAAGACGCTCAAGTTTTTCCAACGATTGTAATATTTAAGCCAGGTTGTAAGAAGTTCCATTGCTTCAATCTTGAACCAAAAAGTTTTGATTTCTCTTTGAGCAGATCCAAGTTCCGAATCAAGTCACTGAGTTAAGCTTGAGTTAGCAAGTGGCGTTTTCGTTATTCTTATTCGAAAGAAAAATCAGAATCATCTGATGGTGTTCCTCCTAGAGAATTTTCCTCTTCGTTATCCTCGTCCTCATTCAAGTCGTAGAGTTCAGAAGGCCTTGGAACTGACAATTCGTGTGGCATTGGCCGTATAGTAGAAGGAATGTCAGGGTACTTCACTTAAGATATCTTTTTTCGAGACATTCCATGATGAAGAGTAGGGATCATGCAAAAATAGCAGTTGTCATTGTGATTAGTAGGCTCCCTCCACACCACGGGGAACAGCAAAACGCACTCTTATTCAATCATTCTCTTAAGGTTACGCTACATGTGATGCAGCAGATGTGTGGGGTCCACGATTTATCTTGGTGACCAACCTTCACCCCAAAATGCTTGTGCTATGATGTCTTGATCATCTATGTGATAGGAAGTTTTTGACTTGCAAAGTTTACTTTTCCACAAATGTAACATAAGTTGTCAGGAGCATTCATATACTTTTTGGACATTGTAACTTCACCAAAACTACTGGGTCATCACGATGAAATTAATAAAAAAATTCCTGAAGCAAAAAAAAAATCATGTCAAGAGTAACTTGAAATATAAAAACTGCATACAACTGTCAGCAAAACGGTTCTGTGATTCACATCTAGTCGCTTACCGCGATTCGCAGACAGCATTAGCGGATCCAGGATTTAATTATGGAAGGGGGCTTCAGCCCGAAGGATTTTTTTTCATTTATATTACGTTAATTAATTTGAAAATAAAAAGAAAGTAATTAACTTATATCATATGACATGGAGTCTAAGTGATTCTTGAAGTCCTATTAAATGTAATTACACTAATAATAATAGTTTTAGAGATAGGTTTTAATATTTTTTTTTTTATAAAACGTAGTTATATTTTACCATTTGGGAAGGGAAGAGGAGGGGGGAGGGCTTCAGCCCGAAAGCCCCTCCCCTTCCTCCCCCCGTAGATCCGTCTGTGGCAGACAGAAATCAATCCTACCAACCCAGGAGCAGGAAATTTCCTCATATTACCCAAAAAGTATGATATATTATTGAAAATAGAGCTAACTGATGATTTTTATGTGAAAATTCGAATTTTTACACCAAAAAACATGGAATGATGCTGTTTTTAAGTGAGATACAATATCAATGTAGGACAGTGTTATTTATGTATAGAATTGTTATGTTAATTAAGAACATAGTATATTTAATAAATAGCCGATAACATAGATTTATCATTACAATAAATTGATAAAATATTAATTTAAAAAAAATGTAATTAACTTTTTCTAATATCATTCTACTAGGTTATTAAAAAGGAGTTTTAATATATATTCTTTTTTCAAGAATCTTCATGATGTTTTACTTTAATTCTGTATCAAACGTTTTTCGGTGAATAAAAGTAACCAACATCATGGCCATTTTAGACGAAATTTCAGAAACGTAGGAACATAAATTTAACGTTGCAATTTAGATTATATAATTTCAGTTATTTAAATTTAATAAGTCATTTTTTGTTAAATATGAGTTGTTTGTTTCGTCACTTACTGAAAGTAATTACCAAAAAGTGTCGTCAAAAATCCTTAATATAACTGTTCTTAATAATGAAATAACTAAATTCATTCAGAAGGTAAAGAAGTTGGAATATACAGACCCTGTATTGATTATTCTAAATGCCTGTAAATTCTAAATGCAATGGCATGAAGAAATAGGCCACGAGAATAATGGTCGGCTTGGAATTGAATATTTTTGATCAATATCTTTTCATTTACCTAAATAAGTTTAACAGCAAGGTTTATTACGTTAAATATTATATACAAAATTTTCTTATTTTAATTATAAAATGAAATAAAAAAATTGAAGAAATTTACTGATGAAGCATTAAAACCAGTACGTCAACATCTACTGGAGTGTGAATATATAAACAGAGTGTTTCAAGGTTAAGTGGCCAAACTGCAAAAATGAACTAAGGGCCTCAAAACAAGAAAAAAATTTCCTCTGAAGTTATATTCGCAAACGCTTTGTTTAGAAGATGATCACACCTAAAGATCTTCGTTGTTATGAATTATTTACGTTAAATGACATAAATAAAACCTATTTATTTGTTCTAACAACGTTATTAATTAAATGTAAACATTAACATTCATATTAAATGTTGTTCAAAGTGAAGATATGTACGCAAACGCTTTGTTTAGGAGATGGATTAGATAGAATACTAAGATGGCCTTTTATCCCCAACTGCGTAATAACTATTGGCAACATAAAGATTAATACTATTTGGAATTAGCATTGGGAACTCTCAATAACATTTATCGGTTTGTAAGAGGCTTTCGCAGAGCACTAATCATTATGCCTTCCATTTATACTATTGGTGAATATGGCCGATATGTTGTTTTTATGCGGTTTTTTCAATGGTAATACTAACG